CAGCCTGAGGCATGGAGAACTCCGGTGGGATGTCAATCTCGCTCATGGCGGTGGGCTATTTGGCAGCTGCTGCCCACGGCACGTACACAGCCACGCACTTGCCCGCAATGTCACTCATAATGTTGGGTTAGTATGTCCAGGTCTTACTTAGACACTTACAAACCAGAGCGCCCCAACCCCAACCAAGGCAGAGACCCTCTTAGATGACCATGAACTTTCAGGACAGCAGTGTTTCATGTCATGATTGTGGGTGGAGGGGCAATCCGCGCTTAGATCGTGTGGGTGTGTGTCAAAATAGGGGCACTCGCAAAAACGGTGGTTGTCATGTTAGTTGCCTTTAAAACCAACCACAAAAAGGCCACCTTTAAACACGCGCACACACACAGATTATGGTTTCCTCTTCTCGCAAACATTTTCTCTGTCGCTGGGTACCTGGAGATGTTTTTTCTTGAAGGGGTCCACAAACCTGTTAAGGGCCATGGGCCATGTTAGGGGCCATGGGCCATGTTAGCAGGGCAGCACGTGGAACATGGTTTGTCGTCTTGTAGTCGCTCCAAATACCAACCAACACAGGGTCCACCGTATTTGGAAGCACCCATGGGCCCATGTCTCTTAAAACAGACAACCCACAAAAAGAATGTCTTCCCCTCGGCTGTCCAGTAAGATACCTCCAAAACGGGCGGATTTCTTTTACGAAGGGTGCCCTGTCGGTTGCTTCAAAGGGACGCCCGGCGGAGGCCGCCGCACGCCGGCCATTCCGCCGGACCGCCCCTCGCTCCGCCTGGCGCCTTTCTCCAGGCGCTGGCAAAGCTGCAGGATCTCCGCCTGCACCGGTCGATCCCCAGTCGGAAGTCAGGTTGTGCCCATAAACTGAACCGGTGATAGGCTGAATGTTATCCAGATATTCAACCAACCAGTTGAGAAATAGGGATTTGGGTGCGAAAAACTCCGAAGGTGGACTGATTTCCCACCAAACCTGACATCCCCCTGTTAATAAACTGGCTGGTTGAGTTATACGGAGTCAACGTTAACAAAAAGGCGGCATCCATAATTGGGATTATCCCGTGGCCGTGCTCAGGTTTTGATTCTCAGCTGGGATGAATGCAAGCCGAAAACGAAAGATGCAGCCCTTCGCCAAAACCCAAATTAGATACCCATTGTGGGATATCAATATGTTGGGTAGACCGGTGTGTGTGTGTGTGTGCGATTGGATTGGCAACGTTTGTTGAAGGGGCTGCAAAAGGACGACGTTACGTTGCATTGCGTGGCTTTGGTGCAGCGCATTCTAGCTTCCTTGAGTTGACAAGTCGCAAGTGGTTTCCCTCGCCGCGAGGCTGCAGGGCGCAAGAGATCGCGGATTTTCACATTTCGGCTGGAGGTCGAAGATCGAGACTTGTCTTTGAAAGCGTCTTGGGAATTGACACAGTCAGTAGCGTGGTGCATGTATTCTTTGAATGCCTGAACCACTGGTTGCAGACCCGTCTAGTAGCAAGCACGGGTCTGTGTGCTTTTGTGCACGGCAAAGATCAAAAGGCCGAGAGCCTGAGCGCTACTTTGAGAAACCTCGGCTGCTGAGTTTAACTTTGCGGCCTCCCGTCCCCATGCACGAAGCACACATATCTGTGCTTGCTGCTCTGTTTTCCATCAATACGACGCCAGGTCTTCAGCATTGGTTCAGGCCTTCAAACAATATGCATGGGCCACATTCCTATTTTCATCACTCAACAAGACGCTTTCCATATCTTTCCCATGATGTGTCTTGGTTGATTCTTCACCTCCAGCAGGAATGTGAAAGCGCGCAATCCCTTGCGCCTGTCAGCATCTCGGCAACCGATGTAATTATCCCCCCCCGTGTGTTTGAAAAATGGATCTTTTGCACACTCCACCCCCCGGCATGATGTTGTTGTATCGACATAGCACAATTGCGAGGCAGTTTGCTTGCAACATTTCAATTTGAGCCATAGGGTTTGCCTGAAACTTATGCTTCCAGAGACTCGAGGGGTCCACACGCACCTATGGTTGGGCCTCTGCCCTCCTTCATTTTTTTTGTTGGAAAGCGAGCCCCTAGAGTTCAACCCCCGTGAAAACAATGATTGACCCAATTCACACTCCTGTGGTAAACTAGTGGTAATTACAATAAACTAGTGGTAATTACAACACCCCTTAACCCCCCAGCCCCACTTTTGTTGGATTTCGACGGGCTTTGTCAAGATTGGCTAGAGTCCATCGAGAAGCAAGGTGAGCCCGGTCATAAAAGGCCCTTTTGGTGAGTCAAGATGCAGGTGTCACTGGATTTCGCCTCCAAAAGTTGCAATTCACCAGGGGGTTTCGTTAAAACTGCCACTTTTGGAGCTTCCAAAAAGGGGACATGGAGGACACCCTGAAAAGACCGGCTTGGAACAAATCTCCGAAGAGACCAGGGTTTGGCATTTTCGTAACCCCAATATTGACCACTGGTTCCCAGCTCATCATGTACTCTTCAAGGTGAATACAGAAATCCAGCTCTCCGGGCTTCTCTTGGAGAACGGGCAAAGCTGAGAATGCGAGCAGCAAAATGACCGCCAATTGACCCCCTTTCCAAAAAGGGCCAAGCCAAATGGGCTTGGCCCTCCAAATGGGGGAGCCAAAAATGGTTGGTCTCCTTTTGGCTTCGCTTTCAACCAGCCCAAATTTCCAAATTATCCTCAAAAAGACAGGCACATCACTAAGCCGAGTGATTCGGTGGGATTTGTCGTTTACACCTAAAAGACACCATCAATTCACACATACTGTGGATGATACAATCCTGCACCAGTTGGGGTGGATAAACCCTATAAAACTTGGGATGAACCACCTGTCGACTGGTGCTAATGTACATCCACGGTCCCAATCGAGTTCTTAGCGTTTGGGAGTAGTCCAAGTAAACCCATTGACTTTTGGTTTTCATCTGCATGGCTATAAAGGACTTATACCTAGAAATAAACGACTAACCTTCGAAACCTTGACAAAACGTTGACCACATCTGGAAATACACAAAATCGTATGGTCCCAATCCCAATAAGGGGCGAATAACGACTAGAAAGGCCTATGATGGGCCAATAGATTTCCTTTTTTTTTTCCTTTTTTTTCGGGGGATCCTGTTTTTTTGTGGGGGGGGCCTAACAGCCACGGGCCTGGGAACAAGGGTGAAAAGGTCGGCTGTGGGCAAGTAGACCATCCGTGCCTGCGACACGTGCACGGCCGCACGCTTCAGACGCAGCACCGCCTTGCAGTCCTCATGGCCAAAAGGAAGGTGATAAAGCCCCTTGGGTTTCTCAATATGTGCCTGAATTTGTATGATATTAATTTCTAGTATGATTCGGGGTATGGTTCGCGGGCACTGAAAACTATGTTTCAGCGTTGACACGCCCTCTTCCGCCCGCCCCCCCCTTCAGTGGCCATGGTCAGGAGCCTCACTTGCCCCCTGCGACCGCCCGTTTCCCTGTTGGCTTGGGGTTGGCCCTCCACACACCCCAAAAACCACTCCAGCGAGACGCCATGCCGCGCCTGAATCAACCTGATGGATTGAACCGGGGGTGCTTCGCCCAAAAGTGATCCAGACTCACTCTGAAATGGGCACCCCACCCCACACTGCAAACAAAAAGCTTATTTCTCGGCTCCCGTGGATGTCTCTCGAATGCCAAAACACACAGTACAAGCGCTCAAACGACATCCCTATTGTGGATGGACAAAATCCATTTCGCACCACCCTAAGAAACCATGACAAACCATTGTTTGTTGGTATTTAATTACGGGGGAATGCTCATGTTTAGGTTTCTTTAGGTGCTGCAGGATTTCGTCCATCCACTGCATGATGCGCCTTCTCAGGGGCTCTGAAGCAAAGCTTTCCCCTCCTCAATACGCAGCTGCCCTGGAGATCGCGACCGTGAGGCCACCCGTCCGCGCCGCGACGCGGCGGAAGGCGTGCGCTGCATGCGTTCGCTGCATGCGAAACGGCAAGGGGGGCTATGGATCCTGGGCAAACGATACTTCACACACCACACTTCAGAGTAATGCTGAATGAACTTGTCTGTCCGCTTGGTTGCGTGGCACTCACTTCAGCAACATGCACACATTTGTTCTTCACCAATGTAAGAAGACATGCTAGAGCTGGCAGGCTCACCTGTTCGCCCGTCCACCTCTGAAACTCAACACCCATGACGACTCTTGATGAATGTAATTCAGATGCATACTGCTGGATTAAACACATGTTTTTTGTATCCGTCAAGAATAGGGAGACCGCAAATCGTCAGTGTCCTTTTGGTTTCCCTTTAAACGGCGTGAACTCCAAAAGCTACAGTTCGTCTCCTGTGCCAAGCGCAGGCCAGTTTGAGCCAACATGGCCGGGGGGGAAATGCCGCATCTTGCTTGAAGCGCCGAAAGTGCAAACAAAGGTATACAAACTCCAGCACCTCGTGTCCCCTTCGAAGGAAACACGTGGAACCCTCCCAAACATGGTTTGCGGAACAGATTTCTCTTGGAAGACAGCTGTTTTCCTGTTGGACCTGTGACACGGTGCACTTCCACGCTTGTTGGTGGGAGAGTACCGCACACAAATGAAACCCAGCCCACAACACAAGGCAATGCAAGACAACAGTCAACGGAAGCCACAACAAATAAAACGACACTACACAACACAGCACAAAGCAACACAATCCGGAACAATGATAACAACGCAAGACACGCACAAGCAACTACATATATGACGAGACAACAAAATACACCACACCACAACAGAACAGAACGCTACATAGCAGGACACAACACAACACAACAAACACCAACATAACAGAACACAACACACAACATAAAAGAACGCAATACAAGATAACACAAGACAACCCACAACCCAAAACAGCACACATCGACACAATCACACAGTATGCAACAATAACTACACACAACTGGCCAACACAAATCAACATTAATACAAACGACCGTGGCTGGTATTGCCTTTGCACCTCCGGATGCATTCCGCTTGCCTCAACTGGCTGTCTGCTTGCCGCTCTCGGTCGAGCTCGCGCTCTCGAGAGGTCTGGTCGAGTCGAAAGGCCGACAAGCCTCTTGATCCAGCCCCGGCTGTACCCACTTGCCAGACCTGGAAAAGAAGGCTACACTTCATGGAATTGAACAGGAAGCTCCAAGCTTTTCTTTTTCATTTTTCTTTTAAATTATTCTTTGCAGGTTCGTTAAAAAACCTATAATTGTTTAGTCAATTCCAACATAGAAGTCCAAACCCCCAGGGCTTTGACTAAACAGAGACCAACCTGGATGACATCTCCCCAACTCATGTTCACAGACCAAACTGTGGAAACCAACATGTCACAAGGTTTGGCCCACTCGGCTTCCCTCAAACTAGAAATTGGGGTTTGGAGGTTGAGGGGTGGTCTCTCCTTCGGATTTACGGAGACTCAGGGGTTCAAGTCCCGACGAATCCAGAACTGGGGCACTCCAGTATGTTGAGACTACGTTCATATTTAGCCTAAATTACCACCATGAAACTAAGTTACTAAGGGAAGACATCATGTAAGACCTAGCGGTCTAGAGGTAAAACTACTGCTAGCGGCAAGTCGATAAGTAACAGAAACTGGGTAGTTGAGTTGACCAAAATGTCACTTGCGACTTGGCCAGAGTTTGCCTTTCGGCCAAAGCAACTCAATCATGAGTGATCCCCATCACCGGAACCCGCATGCGCGATTTCAGTCGTAAAGGGAAAAGGCCTGAAGTCGCCTCGACTCATTGTTCCGCAAGCAACGGCATCGCCCAGTATCGGTGTTCTCCACAAAAGATGAGGAGTCGCCAAGCTTTAAACAGGGGCTCGCCCAGTTTCTCTCTAAAACATGCGCAGTTTTTATTTTGTGACCGGAAGTCATGCTAGTCTTTGATCCAAACAAGCTCGAACGGCTCGAAAAGCTTTTGTTTTCCCCAAGCTCGCGATTCACCGAGTTTTATTCCACAGAAATGTGCCTTTGCCATCCAAGAGGACAGGGGTCACTGGGGTTCCCCTGAATGAATTTGCAATTGACTACTGGAATTGAAAACGACCGCTTTCTTTTTGGAGGTTCGAGAGGAAAATGGAGGCCACCCTGCGGGTGCTTTGGGTACACTCCAAACCCCGCCTCCCGTGGTGCGTCAGCCCTGCGAGGCGCCCGATCGCCTGAAGCTCCAGGGCGTGGGACCTTAGGTGTTAGTAACCATACTTGTATCTACCAGTGCAACCCATTTCCAATGGGTTAAACTGAAACCACCAGAAAACTGCAACTTATGGTCACATGTGTTTACATGTTGAAAGGGCAACCCATTTTGGCATTATTTATTTTTGACCGCAAAATAACCCCGTTCTGTTGAGGAAGCGGTGTAGGTTGACTCAGACAGACTGAATTGGGGATGGCTGCCGAAGACTTTAATTTCAGTGAGGGGAAGTTCGGAAGTAGCGTACTCATTTAGCCTATTCGAGGCCAAGTGGAAAGAACGGCTCGTTCACCATACGCACGGCGCCTGCGGCTGTGCGGCCCGCTGATGCGACCCGGGTGACCTGGCGACGAATCGAGGCACGGTACCCGTTTTTGCGGGTGGGCTTGAAAGGAAACACAAGGGAGGAGGCCTAGCACTTTTGTTGGTGTTTGGGAGACGAGTATTTCGGGCTTACACATGGCTGGATTCCCCTCATGCAACAATTCATGGGAATGTCTGTTAGAAATTGTAAACCAATACCAGTTGTAAACTGGGTGTTAAATACGTGGTTGGTTAGGAAAACAAATGCTAAGTCATCCCTTTGAAGATGTCAAACATTTTGGGCATTTATGCACCCAACACACAAGGGAACACTAAAACCATCATGAGTTTGCAAACCCCGTCACTTCAAACGGAAGTACCTCCTGGGAAGCTCATATGATTTGGATGGCCTGCGTGATCGCACTCGATCCGTCGAAATTGATTTGCCCAAACTGTAATCGAGCTTGAGTTTGGAGGGACGCAATCAAAGGGCCCCAACCACTAGTGGGGATCCTCCATTTTCAAATCCATTTACATGTCTTAAAACCAGAGACGCTCACAAGTGATGGGTCGCACAGTGGTTCCCGCTCAAAACACCCGAAACATGGGTACCAACTCCAAATGAGCTACGCATGTATGTTCACTTGTTCGAGCTCCGCTTGCAGTTCATTCACGGATGCAAGATGGAGGTGTTCAGGGGGGTCCAAAGGGATCCAGCACACTACAGCGCCCAACACCCAAAGCAGTGCCGTACTATCTCCACTATACCAGCGATTAGCCGGGTGTCTGGACGGCTGTATGCTGTCTGAAAAGGATCCCTGGAACTACACAACTCGGAAGTTACCTGCATAAATTCGGCTAACTTCTGACTTTCTGTTGGAAAACACAAGTCAAGCTGCTAGAGTCGTTCCCTGTTCGAAGAAAAGGCTTCCACACCAAAGCATGGATTCAGATCCTTCCTACAATGTTCCGGGCAGTGTCTATCCAGCTCTGTTGGCCATTGATCAAGCTGTGGTTTGGCAAAGCTTTAAAGCGCGATTTAACCGGGCTGTCCTCAGATCCGCTCAAAGTTCAACCTTTAGTGGATTAAATGGACACCCAACCACCAACAACAAAAAAACTAAGAGCCTGGGAGGAACGGGACGACTCGCTGGGAACCGCCCGGCATCCCCGAGGGTAGGGGTCCCGGCCGTATTGGTCGGCCGGCGTCGAGCCTTGGACATTGGAGGTTCGGGCGTTCGGGCGTTCGGTTGACCCATGGCACGGGATCCAAGGCACCCATGGTAAGGTTTGACCCGTTTGGGGGGTCTGTTCCTTTTTTGGAGTCGGTACCACCCCGCCCCTTTTTGGTTGTAGAAGGGACACCAAAAGGAACATGTGTTTGCTTCTGTTTTCGAGGTGGTAGCCCGCTTTTTCATGTGGGCCTGGATTCCGCATGCCACATTTGGGGGGCTTTTCATGGCATATGGGTGGGTTGGTACCACCCGACCCCCCCCCCGTAAGAGGGAAGAGTATGTAGAATGTGCCGGGGAGAGGTCTGGGCATCAACATCACACTGAGAGCTGGCTTTCAGGCAGATCTTGTATAGGAATTGATTTCATAAAATTGCAAATCTTAGTCTGAGAAATTGGCTTCCAGGGGAATTTGGTAGGAATGAAATTGCAGATGTTACAAGTTAATTTGTAAGGTAAAGAACATATTCTCCAAAATATTTTTTTACAAATTTTACAAATTCTAGTCTGAGAAATTAGCTTCCAGGGGAATTTGGTAGGAATTAAATTGCAAATTTTACAAATTAATTTGCAAAATTTGTAAAACATCAAAAAAATCTGGCCCAAAATTACAAATTTTATAAAATTTGTAAAATATCAAAAAAATATGGCCCAAAATTACAATTTTTACAAATTTTACAAATTCTAGTCTGAGAAATTAGCTTCCAGTGGAATTTGGAAGGAATTAAATTATAAAATATCAAAAAAATCTGGCCCAAAATGACAAATTTTACAATTTTTACAAATTCTAGTCTGAGAAATTAGCTTCCAGCGGCATTTGGTAGGACTTAAATTGCAAATTTTACAAATTTTACAAATTTTACAAATTGTACAAATTAATTTGAACAATTTGTAAAATATCAAAAAAATCTGGCCCAAAATTACAAATTTACAAATTAATTTGTATAATTTGAAAAAAAAGCAAAAAAATATCTGGCCCAAAATTACAAATTTTACAAATTTTACAAATTCTAGTCTGATAAATTAGCTTCCAGGGGAATTTGGTAGGAATTAAATTGCAAATTTTACAAATTTTACAAATTTTACAAATTATTTTGTAAAATTTGTAAAATATCAAAAAACTCTGGCTCAAAATTACGCATTCTACAAATTATACAAACAATAATTTGTAAAATTTGTAAAATTTGTAATTTAATTCCTACCAAATTCCCCTGGAAGCTAGTTTCTCAGACTAGAATTTGCAAAATTTGTAAAATTTGTAATTTTGGGCCAGATTTTTTTCGATATTTTACAAATTTTACAAATTAATTTGTAAAATTTGTAAAATTTGCAATTTTGTGCCAGATTTTTTTGATATTTTACAAATTTTACAATTTGGGCCAGATGTTTTTGATATTTTACAAATTTTACAAAATTTACAAATTAATTTGTACAATTTGTAAATTTTGTAAAATTTGCAATTTAATTCCTACCAAATTCCCCTGGAAGCTAATTTCTCAGACTAGAATTTGTAAAATGTGTAATTTAATTCCTACCAAATTCCCCTGGAAGCTAATTTCTCAGACTAGAATTTGTAAAATTTGTAAAATTTGTATTTTTGGGCCATATTTTTTTATATTTTAGAAATTTTGCAAATTCATTTGTAAAATCTGGAAATTTCACTTTTTACACATGTACTTGCGAAATTTGTGAAATGCTTAGTTGTTAACCATATTTGTTGGAATTTGGCATAGTTCAGAAACTAATCTGCAAAATGTGTATAACTTGTAATGTAACTCCAGCCAAATCTCCCCGGAAAGCAAATTCCCCAGAGTACGTTTCAATGTTAGCAAACATCCGATTTAGAATTACAAGCTGGATTTGAACAAACATTGCTCGGGGGTTGCAAATTGCACAAGCTAGTTTGTAAAAAGTCGGTCCAGAATTACACAAATTACAAGTAAAGGTGTGAACATTGTAAACTTGATAAAACTTGATCACCGTCCTTCCCTTAACGGCTTTTTTTGGGTCAAGTTTGTTTCATGTTGAATCGGTTGAAGTTTGGTAAGGAAATGGGGAGGAAAGCATATTATCTTTTCATTTGGAATCTCTCTTTTCTGTTATTTCCATGTGTTTGTGTTTCTTTAGGATCTCGAATTCATACTCCTTTCTTTATCTTTCACTCTCTCCCCTGACCATTTCTTCCTACAATCAACTCAATAAACTAGGATGGAAAAGACAGGGATAAAGAAATAAACATAAGATAGGTAAAGGAGACAGGACATCTTCTGTAACACGCTTCTTTTGGATAACTTTCATACCACACATACCTGATGGAGAAAGAGATGGAGAAAACCGTACAAATAGAAAGACATGGAAAGGCTACCGGGATTGTGGGATGGATTCATTTGTATCTCAGAGATTTTATCGCATACCAGGTTAGACCAATCGATGAAGGTAAGGGAAAGGGAAAGGTGTGAAAGAACAAAGAATGATTAAGAAAATCTTCCGCCCAGACATCACGCAGAATACACCAGATAGCCTGTCCGTGAGACTTGGAGGATATGATGATTGAAGATTCCCTCACTATCCCTTTCCAGCCTGTCTTTGGGGCCTCTTCCAAATCATTGCCTGTTTCCTCTTGTCCATCCATCCTCATCCTTTATTTGCATTTATGGATGGGCAAGAAGTGACGAAAGCATTTGCAGGCAGTAATAATTACGGTAGAAAACGTAATATCCTCCCTTTCTTTTCAAAATCCTGTTTTATACAAGCTAACAACATAAAAAGGGCGCGAGACAGTTATGACAAAGCTAAAGATAATTATGGGTGGTGCTTACAGAAGCTATCTAATTTATTACGTGCTAATACATGCTTCTAATCTTAAAACCATACTTACATTCCTCGTTCTTTTCTATTTTATTCTTCCCTTGTTGAGATTCATTACGCTATCTTTCTTTGTGAATGCTTTTGGCTGTCCGGTCGTCGCTGGGGCTCACCGAAAAAAAAGAGATTATGAGTAGGTCTTACTCATATTATTTTGCTTGTGTTTTACTATCTTTTGGACCTTTCATCCTTCCCCTTCTTCTGTTTCCCTTTTCAACCGTTGAAGAATGCCAGAAATCGAGGGGTGAAGGAAGGAGGGAGAAGCTAGCCCCCCCGTTCCTTCTTCTCCAACTGTATCGCTAGTGGGGAGAAGATAGGAAGGAGATCAACCGTTCCATCTTTACCTTTCCCTTCCCCACTACGTTCTGGAGTTCTGTCACTACGAAAGACTCACGATGGAACAGTCTAAAAGTGGGGCGAAGGAAGGGGATATTGGCTTTATTTTTGGTTTATTTGTAGAAAAAGAAAGCCACTTTCCACAACCCGCTTCTTTCTGTAAAAACACAGATGGAAGAAGATGACCTTTCCCGGCCCAGCCAACGCTTGTCATTTTCCTTGCCTTGTCTTTTACATTGCCATGTTTTGGAAATGAAGAAGTAAAGCGTCTGGCAAGGAGGTAAGCGCCCATCAATACTAATTGAAGATAACGAATTGGATGAGCACTTACCATGTCTTTCTATCACTTCTTTCTTTCCTTTTGATGAAATTGAAGATTGAAAATGGGAAGTGAGAAGCCTCTCTTGACTTCTTCCTCAAGCATAGGCTGCTGTTAATCTTATGCCGTGTAAAGCTTGGGAAGAAGAAGAAGAGAAGATAGGAGAGGGTGAGCAGAAGTAACGTGATTCTTTCTTTTCCTCCGATCGCATCCTGATTTTCCCATGTATGTCACCCACCAACATCTTCAACCCATAAAGATTTGACTACAGAATCCTTAAAACCTTTTTAATAGCAAATGCTAGCGGTCTCTCTCTTTTGCTAATAATCTTCTGGAAATGAAAGGACAATAATAGAGTTTTAGATCATAGGATGGTGTAAGGACTGGGTTCTTCTCATCGTTGACGTCCTTCCTTGTCCAAGTCACGGAGGAAGAGAGGTTGGTTTGTGGTCCCAAGAGCTTGTATCCTTCCCTTTCTATCTCTTCCACTTCATCCAGGAAACATTTGTGGATGGACATGTCGTTATTAAGATCATTGCCTTTCGGTTTACCATCCCATTTATTGCTTGAATGTCTATCTTTGTTGTCTTCCATTTACAATATTATCTGAGAAGTATAGAAATGCTTCTGGGTGTGAGGTTGAAAAAATTGGCGATGTAAAGAAAATCACGATGGTTGGAACAGAAAGTTAATCATTACCAAGAATAGGTTCATAGTCTCTCATCTGCTGGTTGCATTCTCATGTACTTGTTCACTTTGCAACCTTTCTACTTGTTTATCTATCTTCCCAATCTCTCTTTCTCTCTCTCGCATTGTAAACGTTGGAGGCATCTGGATGGGGGAAAAAAACACCCGGGGGGTAATAACAAATATGAAGAAGAGGAACTGGCTAACACTCCTTCTGCTCTCCCGTCTTTCGCGGCTATCAGGATTAGTAAGAATTACGAAAAAGGCCTATGAAGAAACATAATAGATAACATAAATAAATAAACCAATAGGCAAATGACAGAACCAAGAACATGAAAGTAATAAAGAATGTTAATAAATGAAACGGTTTATTGGGAGACACATTGTTCTTGTCCATCAAGAACCCTCTCCAACACAGTGAAAAACCTAGAGTAGACAATGATGGATATGATAGAAAACGCAATAAGATAATAAAACGCAGTAAGCTATGAGATTACAACGATTCTGAAATTATTGCCTTTAAATTCACCCCGTGACCACTTCATCCCATTTACACAAACATATTGGAGAAGGTGTTAGTGCATGATGAAGAATAAACACAAATTATAACCATAGATAGTTTGCTTGACTCTGAAGAGGCTGTTGGTCTTTACTCATGGAGTTTATTTAGTTGTATCTTCTTTCTGCTTTTGTTCTATTAGAATTTCCTTGCAAAATCTCTCACTCACTCCCTATTGTATCATTAGATATGTGCAATATTCTTGAGTTTTAGGTGAGAATGAAAAGGATATTAATAGTTCAATTTTGCTGGAGAAGGACGGAACACTATTTACGAAAGGCTATTTATTTACTAGAATCTCATGAGTAATGTTAACTAATTTGTACCGATTGGGGTTTATTTCTCACCTTCTCTTTTTAAGGGGTTTCCTTTTGCCTCCCAAGCTAATACTTGTCAAATCCTACTGAATCAATCTTCATTAATAAAATCATGTTCATCGCTAGAAGTGGCCGAAGGAAGTTAATAGTTTTCTCATCAGAATATTGCCTGTCCAAATAGAGTGATGAATGAAGAGACGCTTAACTGTTATTCTTGCTTAAGTGACGTCTCACGGACAGGCTACGTCTCCAGACCCTTTTTTATATCTCTCTGATTGTTCTTTCCTTTTATGTTTATTTGACCAGCATTTGTTTACTATTTACTTCTTCCTCACTGACATTCGATCTTCTCTAACTCTGTTATCTGTTACTGTGGGTTTAATCATTTGATTAACATTTTCCTCTTTCCATTTCCATGCTCTATCTTGGTGAGCTAGCAAACGTTTAATTTAGAAAAAATATGGAAGTGATAGATAGGAGGACATCATTATTTGTTTCAATTAATACTACTTCACGAAGGTATACCGTGTGCTTTTATCACACTCTCTCACAACCAAAGAGAGGATGTTCATCTGGTCTTCATCACCCCTCACCCTTTTTTCTATTACTACAAACTAGCTGGTTCTTTCAGGGTGGGGCATGCCAAGACATTCCTTTCTACTCTTGGGATTGCACCAAAAGAGTCCATGTGCAACAATGAGCCGTTCTGCTCTTGAAGGCGCGCGGCGGCACATTGTACGTAATCTTCCCTGCCACCCCCCCCCCGATTTGGTGTTGGTAAGGGACAGCAAAACGAAAACCCATCCATTGTGGGGGAAAGCACGGACATTTCAACAGTTCACTCTATATATATATATATAAACCCTAAGCCCTAAACCAAGAGCTCCCCCCGGAGCTGGTGAAATTCGTTCACTCGTTTTGGCATAAAAAGCAACCAACAGAGACTGCCAGCCTGAGATGTGTCCCCTTAACTGAAACTGCAATTCCAGTGACTGACACCAAGGTCAAACAGGTGCCGGAGCAAAAACAACACCACTGTGGGCCGCCATCCTGTGGCAACCCAAGGATTTTTGCGAAAATGGGTGCACCTGTTTTCGAGGGTACTCATTTTTGGTTGCCTTTGAAGGAAAGTTGGAAGGAAAGCCGCAATTTTGTTTGGGGGGGGGTGCCCCCAACAAAGACCCACCCAAATGATTCCTTTCAACCCTGGCTCGTTTCGACTCCGGAAACGGAACGGGCCCATCCCAAATTCCGAGGTCGGGACTGAGGGTGCATCCTCCTGCCTGCCGACAAACACATGCAGCGCTGGATGCGAACCGCGGTCCATATTGGGCGGAGGGGGCGGGGGGGGGTTCTTGAGAACGTCCTTTTTGGCTTTGGGTTAAAGAGAAATGCAAAGAAAATTACTTTCTTCTCCTCCTTCTTCTTCTTCTTCTTCTTGTTTCATTTTTTGTTTGGGGGGGTGCGCCTATTTTGACACCCATGTATTGTGTACCCTGGCATTGTATGTTGGTGAGGGTTGAAAGCGCGTGTTGAAAATGTGTCTGCAAAATAAATGGAACAAGTCCATCTGATACCAAACAATCTAGAAAGCGGTTTGGATGTGGCTTGCGTGGATGCACTTCCGTAGGAGTTTTCAAAGAGTACCAAAGATTACTAAAAAAAACATTAAGGGAAAGAACAGCTAAAATCCACAAAACATCCAAACCGTTTTCTACAAACAAGTGCCTGCAGAGCACTTTGGCGACAAGACATGTTTTAGCCGCTTGCCGTATTTTGTTTGGCCTTACTAACCACCCCCCAAAGACCCCGCCGTGACCAAACAATCATGGCGGCCTCTCCAGTCGATGCTTACAAAGGTAACTACGAGTAATCCCTGTCTTGGCACCCCAGGGTACATCAAGACCAATAAGTTGGAGCCTCTAGCCAACCTTGGAGCCTCTAGCGCCTGGGACCTTTTGGTAGCCCAAAACCAGTCCAGACGTTTCGTCGCAGATAGTCCACTCAGATCCCAAGCGAAAAAGACAAGTCCAAGGGTTGTTGACTGTTGGTACAACGTTCCTGCACAAAGGGTGCCCTGCCCGTGGAGCTATGGACAACTCCAGCTGCGGGAGTTGAAGCCAACTCCGTTAGCGAGTCGTGTCAACTTGTGAGTCGACTTGTTGCAGACATCACCTGCACAAAGTCCCCCACCGTTTTGCTAAGGGACAACCAGGGAACACACCAAACAAGCAAACCGTTGAAAGGCGAGCCATTTCTCAAATGCCCAGCGGATTTCCATGGAAAATAGCATCCTTCTTTGGCTGGTTGAGTTTAAAGGCGCCACTGGGCAACAGAGATTTGTCTGTCAATGATGGCTCTGCTTCCCCATGTCACCCCTTCAGTAATTGATAGTGATTGTTGAATCTGTTGAGAAACAGGCGAGGACTTGACTCACAAGGCAACCTCCACGACCCTTGCCCACACAAAAGGCAACCTCCACCCTCCCAACCACCTCCCCCCCCAAAAAAAAATATGAACAAACAAATAATTAACCAAAAACAAATCAAAAATGAATAAGAATGAGCCATGTCCTAAACGTGTCATGATTTGCTAAGTTGTATCATTTTGATTACGCCATTAGCTTACGCCGCCTTACGCACGCAGAGTTGTTCCTTGCGCGACAAATTTGGAGGTGTTGCTTTACGCCACTAGCTTACGCCACCTTACGCACGTGGAGTTTTTGGTGACGGCGCCCCTTGCGTCGTGGGACTGTTGCCGTTTTCAGTCAAGCGCTGGGGTGGGGAGGGGTTGGGGGGGGGGCATTGATATCTGCAAGCCACATTTGGACCGAAGTAGAAAGCTTTTGGTCCACTCAGACATGCATTCTTCGGGCCCAGTGGCTGTTCGCTCCTGTTGTCTCATCATCTTGCTTCGGCCTCAGCCGGTTTTGCAAGCACGCGCCCGCTGCTTCTGTGGTTGCAAGTGGATATGTCATATACTACGTACACTGACTCGCTGGCGCACTTGCATTCACAGCTGGCAAGCCACTCGGACTTAGCGGACGTATTGGACATTGTTCAGCCTTGGTGGACCCCTGCCTTGAGAAGTACATCTGCGGAATTTAAGCGCAGGGGCTTTAAACGCGAAGATGGGCCCAGCACCACAAGTCAAGCCAAAGACCGTATGGCTGAGCTTGGTGCGCTGTGAAAGCATGGCTAAGAAGTTGGGCCTGGAAGATTTAGAGATTTTGCACAATCTTGCGCTTGAAAAAAAACCAAGCAAAAGCGCCCGACCCTGCAGGCGCCGCAGCCGAGTTCTTGCTTACGCACAGGTTGATATGACACGACTCTTACTAACCATGTACACGGAGGTGTTGGGCGCCGCTTAGATAGCATAATAACAATAATGATAACAGGAACAGTAATAATAACAAATAAAATAATATGCATATATCATATATATATATATATGTATACAGATATGTAAATATATATATATATATATATTGGGCTTGGTCTGGAACTCTGAGATCGCTTCGCCTGAGGCTCCCAAGGCTCGCAGCGGAGCCTCCTGGCAGCCGGAACCGAGAGAAATGAAACCTGGCTTCCTTTGGAATCCCTAGGTTAGAAACCATCCCATGGTTTTCTTTAAACCTAGGATCCCTATGGAATCTAGCCGGTTCATTCCCAACACCCGGAAGGTCACTCACCAGCCAGAAGATCTCACTTGCGATTGAGTGGATTGACCAAGGAAGTAAAGACGCTATACGTTCTTACCTGACAGTCACTGGGAACTGACCACAAAAAGCCGCCAAACTTGCTGCAACCACCATTAAAAACTGGCGGGTTGAAGGCTCGCAAAGGGTCGAAAAGAACAGTGACCCGGCTTTGGGTAGGTGCCTTGAATACTCCCTAAAAGTTTTATCAGACCCAAAAAGGAAGGGGTTTGGGCTATATACAGATTAAGATCCACAGCAAGGGCAGCCTTTGTGAATATGTTCTACTAGTGACAGACGCTCTCAAAACTTGTGCCCCAAAAGCAGCTCCCAAAACTCTGGGGTTTGGGTTCTACGCATCCCTTTCGAAATATCCCGTAGTAGAGTCACTCACCTCCCGAGTGGATGGGCCAAACAAGTCCGAACTGTTTGCCTGCTATTAAAACGGCCATCCCAAACCGGTACAAAGCCCAGGAACTCAAGACTACCTACTAGCGGTTCCACCCAAAAAAAAACGTTAAACAAAAAACTAATGTTTTTAGTCTCATCCCCCCGGTTTTTGGTGGCCCCTGAGCAAAAACGCTTCCCTTGGGCGAAGCGTTTAAGCCGCTTCGGCCTGAGCTCCTGGCGATGCCTGACACGTGAACGAGCCGAGGAGCAACCGGAGGGGGAGAAAAATACCACCTCTGGGTATGGGGTTTTAGTTCACATAGGTCAAAATTAGGGTATGTTCACAAATGGGTATGAGGGAACAACAACATTTGGTCAAAGTTAAACCACTAGGGGACCCACGGGCTTTAGTTCACTTTTCCACTTGCCAGGGTTCCATTTGGGGTACCTATTTCTGACCCACTGCCATATTTCCAGTAGTGATAGATTCCCTTTAAAACCAAAAAGGGGAAAATTGACATATTCTTCAGCAAATGGAAGTTTATTTGCTGGTTCTCAAAAAATAAGAAATGGAATGACCTGAGATCGCCTATGCTTTCTGTGAAGGGAATCCCCAGGTTCATTTATGTTTAGTTAGGCGAGTTCCTTGACATACCCACCAAAAGGAGTCCCAATCTTACTGAGGGTGGGAAGGACATTGCTAAAACTGGTGGGGCTGTTTGTTGGTTTCCCGAGGGAAAGATGCACCAACACATCTCAAAATCTCAGCAGCTTCAAGGCTTTGATTTGTTCACCACCCCGGGAGTGGAGAACCCATGGATACGTCTTCAAATGGGCCAATTTTCTTTTTAGGACCTTTTGGTGGACATCATTCAGGACGTTGCAGGTCCACCAGCTGTTCAGACACTTTTGAGGCGGTTCCCCAATAGAATTCATAGCCAAATAACCTAATAGCTCTGAGCCCAAAACTAGGTTGGGTGTCCATGGCTTTGCCCTCAAAGCAGTGCTGTGGACAAAATCCAAGCTCACCAGTTGGGATGGATGATTCCCTGGATCCGCCTAAAGTCCCTTTCACACAGTGAATATTCTGAGGGCCCAAGGTGCGAACCAGATCTCGCCCAGACATTTGGGGCTGAGTTGCTCTTTTTTTTTTTTGGGGGGGGGGGGGGTACCCTTGGACAAATAAACCCTCCGGGTGCCGAGTGTCCACCAAGCGCTTGGGTTCGTCCGAGTGTCCAGCATGGAACCTTGGGTTCGTCGGCTCTCGTTTCAGTTTGGCCCTGGGCATCTCCTGAGCATGGAACCTCTGGATTTCTGCAACTCGCGGGGGGAGGGGGGGGGGTCCCGTTAAAAAAGGGAGCATTATTGAAAAAAACAGAGAAAAGCACACACAAAAACCAAGATACATGTTTTCAAGCACGATGAGGTACAAGTAGCTTGGTTTTACAATGCACGACATCGTTCTAAGTATGTTTTTTCCTATAGAAATCAGTAACATCGTTTGTCATTTTAGGGGACTGGGCAGATGCAAAAATAATCGTCCAAGGAACTGGCCGAAAGTGAGATGCGAGTGCAAGAGAAACCAAACGGAAACTGACCCGGAGGGGGCTCTTAAATTTGATTCCCACGAGTCTCACTTCCTGAGTGGCTGGCGAAGAAAAAGACTGATTTTTGTTCTTTACAACTAAAAGGGACTTCCCAAAAAGTGTCAAGTCCAGGAACTCAGGACGTCAGGAGTTTTGGACACTGACCTGATTTGGAAACTGACAACCTGACATCAGCTTGCTTCTCAAGATCATTTTACCGAGTGTGTACAAGTCAGCAAGAGGATGTAAGACAGGGCCATGGGCTTCCCTTTCACGCTCTCGATGGGGAATTCAAATGGAGGCCAGCTTAAAGAGACGGTCGCTTTATGTTCCCAAGAAAGGGAAAGTCAAAAAGCGATTATTTCATAGGGAAACCCCCAACATGGGTGGCTTCCTTTTGGTTTCCCCAACAATCCCCGCAAAAATCGAGCCTCTCTCAAATACAAACACCCCCAAAAGGGTTGTCGTTTAATAAGGGAACTCTCGAATTACGCTTCCCTTTGACCAACCCCCACCCCAAAAACACACACCACAAATAGCGCCTTTCCCCATTGAACATAAGCCAAAACACAACTTGCCCTCAGACAAGCACGCGAAAACCTTCAAACTAAACCACAAAACACGCACGCCCGAGCTTGGTGGCTGTTGCCCCGTCACTAAACGTTCAATTTTACTGGGTTGTGGGGAGAGACACGTATTTTGTTTCTTCGAACATTTGCCTGTTAAAGATCCAACCCGTCAAGGACCATGTAGGGAACAGCCCCCCCCCCCCATTTTCAGGGTTCCCCAGAAAGGTGGAACTTGTTGAATACCCTCCCTCCAATCAAGGCTGGGTGTTTGGGGAAGCCCGCTGTCCACTTCCATGATTGTAAAGTTTGGCTCTCTCGTCTGCCAGGCTCGTTCTCCAGCATATGCTCCATCTCTTCTATGTCTTACTTGTATCGTAATTTCGGTTAAGCTTCCCATCCTCAGGATAAGAGGGATAAAGGGAGAGGCGAAGCGATCCATCCGCTGGTAACTGTCGCCCGCGCCGGCCTGAGCGCCGGGGCCGGTCGCTGGACACCGAGGAAGTCCGGCGAACCGCTGCCTGCGCTGCCTGCGGTTCGAAGGCGTGATGCTCAGATGGTTCGTGGATTTCGGTGGGGAAGAAAAGCGATCCTTTGTTTTTTGTTGGTTGAGTTTCAAGAGGAACTCTTCGCAAAACATATCAACCGAAGCAAGCAAAGACATGTCAACTACTATGCCAGAATCTGGCCTTGCAAACAGACCTTGCCTACGTCTAAACTACGTACACATAGACCTACAGTTGGGTTCTTGCTGCTGACCTCTCTAGAGAGAACCAACACAGAGCAGCAATCACGTCAAAAAAGGAAAAGGGCGCCACTGGGCAACTGGGTAGTGGACAAGCCATTTGTTTCCAAAAACGTCCGGCTAGAAAGGGGCGATTTGCTCACAAAGACCAGCCATTGTGTGTTAAGAGGATGCGCAAGAGGAGGCCACGCGTGGTGTGATCAAAACTCCTTGTGTGGGTGGTCCTGGTTTCCTTACATACTGTAATAAGATAGAAACCTTTAGGTCGGTTGTCCAACACCCGGATTAAGATGTTTGATGACTTTCAACCCCGAAAAAGCCTGGTCTTTCGAACACGCCACAAGCGTTGTGGTCAAGAGACACCTTTACTTGCCGTTGGAATCATCAACGCCTGAATACCGTAGATGGACAACATCCTGTACCAGATGGATGGATGAAGCCCTATGACTGCTGATCAAAGCACCTACCAATTGGTGCAGAAGTCAACCCCGAAAAGGGTACCCTCAAAAACACACCCATTTCAGTAAAAGTTTTAATTTGGGAAATGTTGACTAACATCACTGTCCACCAACCGTGTTGAACAAGTGGAAACTTGCAATGCTCGGAGACTTGCAAACAGACTGAGGTCTTGGCCCCCGTTGGCGAGCCAAAACGAGGTATGAACGAGAAAGAGCATACGAGACAAACTTGCACACAAGACTTCAAGATGCCGGGAAAAACCAAAACTAGAACCCCCATTCAGACAGGTAGCTGCTACACAAATGGGTCCACTTTGGGGTCCCAAAACACGACATGGTAGTGGGCTACCACAAATGCTTTGTATGCATGGGTACCTTTTTTGGGTTTGGCGTAAAGGGAAACATCAAAGAGCAACCAGTTTGGGGGGGGGGGGGGGATTTTGACGCACCCAAGACACCCTCACCAAAGAGAAACAACAGGTCCCTGGAGGTCTAGAGCCCTGAGTTGTTTTCAACATGTCTGCTCCCGAGAGAAAAGTTGGCGCAGGTAAATTGGAACCAAGGGCTTGAACTTGCTGTATCAGTTATAAGGCTTCGGGCCGCGACTCGAACTTGACCCGGTGAGCGAGGTTCACGTGACACAGCCGACGAACGAAGCCCCTGTTCTTTTCCCTAGACACTTTTGCCTAGGAAACACACATTAAGTTGATCGGCAAAGAAGGCGTCACACAAAAGGCAACACATCAATCCCTTGGTGTGGTGTAAAGGAAATTTGAATCATGCTCAAATTGCTATGTTTTTTGTTGGACACTGAAAACAAAGAGTTCCACAAGGAGAGCCTCATCATGGGTGAGCTTGTTTTGCCGTTAGAACGTGTGCAGACTTTTGGAGTATCTAGCGCCCAGCTGTCGACCGCGCGCCTTGTCGTTGGGCCGCTGGCCCGTAGACACTCTTCGAGCCCTAAGTTGCCGGGGCCAGGGAGCAAAAGGCATCCAGTTTCAATGTTGGGCTGAACCCCTCTGGGCATTGCAACATCCAATGTCATGGACTCCTGTTGGATAATTGTACCACTTTGCACTGTGTTCAATGTCTAAATTGTGTGAAGGGACACTTGCGTAAACGAATACACTGAAAGGGGTGGTTGGCCCAAGATGCTTAGCGCGTCGTTTGCTCATTATGTCATTTGGGTTTGCAATCATGTCCTCTAGACTCCAGGGTAGTCCTTTGTTTTGGTACGGCTCAATATCAGTTCAGCCCCTCCAGGTGTTGAGCTTACTATTGGTGTTCCAAAAGCCATTCATCTCCAGCAAGCGCCACTCCAGGATCCCCAAAAAGGAGGGTGTGGGACTGGGCCAAAGACTGAACCAGAGCTTAGGCAAGGTTCAATCCTCTCACAGTCTGAATGGTGTCTACCACAACCTTAAACCTGGGGACCATGAGTAACGGGCAATCGAAAAACGCTGGTCAAAAGGTTGGCTTCGGACAAATGTGAAGGCACTACGTAGACTGACACCAGGGTGAAAGTAGATTGTGTAATTCTCCTGTAAGCCGGAGGATAAAACCAAAATGCAGACATTGTGCGTTGTACTTTTCCCAGCTGTGGTAGATCAGCCCTAGTTGCTGTGTCAGAAAAGAAGCAATTCTGGCCACTGGCCACTACCCGTCAGTTGCCAGCATTTGCACCTCTCAAAGATAGGGACCCCCTTTTCGAGTGGGTACTGAAGGAAATCAAAGGGATAAATGGTCGGAAATCCAATCGATCCACGTTTATGAGTAAGAAATCTGGGAAACTTGGAAGGCCACCTTGCGAGACCGAGAAGTGGCCCAATGGCTTTCCATCTAATTAGGCGTTTCAGCACATTTCAAATGTTGGCCCCCTCGTGGAAACGCCTGGTGCATGCAAACTAGCCCTTGGCTCAAAAACAAAGCACCCTCTCTGGCAAACAATGATGTCGCAGCGCGTCTGTGTGGGTGGTGAATAGTGCGTCTGGAACAAAGACACATTTTTCCGCTCCCACAAACTTCCTGAAGAAGACATTCAACAATATATGATATTTAACACCCAGCTACTTCCCCCGAACAACTATAGCACCTGATTTCAACGCCGTCGACCTGTGTTGCTGCTATCGCAAGCCAGTAGCCCAATCAAAGCCAGTAGCCCAACGACACCCCAAGGTGAGGTGCCCTAAAGGCACCCCATACCGATAGCTCTTGGCCACTGAAGGACCTAGGCCTACCCAAATCCCAAAGGACCCCCGCACTGTGCGGGGGATACTGTAAGGCAACGCAAAGGCTAACTGCTGCCTAAATGGTTCGGTCCCAGTTGAGGCGGGGTCTTTGGCCCTTGAAAAAACATCTCAGAACTCCGAAACCTGGCTTTGCGGTCTTTCAGAGGAAACATAGCGGCGATCCCTGCCATACCCGATTTGCCCGGGACCCACCATCGGAGCCCCAAAAAGCCCCTTATTTGTAGTCCATGCCAAGCAAATGCCACAAGATTTCCGAAGTACAAGGTAAAGGCCTTATACTTCATAGTGAGCTCGTTCTAATTACTCGAGATAAAATCGGCAGATGCGCAGCTGAGCCCTGCCACGGCGCGACGATCCCATTCGCCTCGGCCTGCGTGCTCCCTTCCAAAAGTGAGCTGAGCCTGTTTGTGTCAGAAAGTTGGATGAGCCCCCTTCGCTTTGTGGGACACTTGAAACTTGCTTTTCCTGGTCCTGAATCGAAAAGCCGCACGGCAAACAACCAGTGATCTTGTCAGGTGCTCATCCGGATCCTTTGCTTTGCGTGGGTCGGCAAGATCGAGCAGTGATGTTTCCTAGCTATGGGTAGTTCCTAAACATCACGGACCCCTGCCGCCGAAAAAAGAAGGCGCGGTTTTACATGCGCTTCCTTCAGAAACCAACCACGGTTCCTCGGTCCGACCTGACACCAACACAGCCTCCAATATTCACCCTGCTTAGAGTCCCTGGCAAAACGTAAGAAGCCCTATCTCGCTGGAAGGAAACGCAATCTACAAAATGGCCCCAAAGACATGTTCAAAACCATCACAAGAAAACATGGCAAAGTAGCGAATGCAGCCACGTCCTCTTGGTATCAGCGGCGAGCCTGTAAACCGCTGATTCGCTCCCTCAAGTGGATGTTTCGGTTCTGCCACAAATCTAGCAACATCCCAGAAGGTCTTTTAAAGTGGAACATCTCTCTCTCATGCGTCTTCTAATCAGAGGCCCAATGTATGATCCCGGATATCAACCCTGGTATGAACCACTCGTTTATGGTTTCAATCTACCCCATCACGGCTGCAATATGGAACCTCAACCGATATTGCGCTCAACATAGCCCCAGGAAACCCTGGGCCGCATGATCATCCTTCAAGAAACTCTGGAACAGAAGTGCGTTCCCATTGCTGGTCAAGACATCCGGGGGGGATCTCTAATCCGTCTTTGGACGCCACATTCATCTCATGGCACGAGGTTTCTGCATTTTTGACGAATCATCTGGCCCGTTTTCCCCCAAATCGATGAGCTCGCCAAACAAAATGCAGAATGCTGGTTTAATGCCTGGGGGAGGGTGCACCATGACTCCGTGGACCGGGAAGGCCTCTTAAATAGTTCCCATTTGGGTGTGCGATTTCCTTAGGGTACCCCTTTTTGCGGTTGTAAAGGGAAACCGTGGGAAACCCAAACCATTTTAAGGTCCCCTAAAACATATACACACACACACACATTCTCGTGCTCTGGCTAAGGGATCCTTCAACGAGGGATGGCCGGGAAACCAACCCAGATTGCGTACAAAAGGAGCAGCAAATGTCAATCAGCAGAGGCTTCTGTCGGACCCTCTGAGTCCAGCCACACCCTTTTTGCGTTCTAGATTGGGCAATGACAAACAATACAACAAGCCCCACAAGTCAAACCGTGCCAAGCACCTGGGTGAATTGTAATTCACATGCCCCGAAATAAAAAGATACACAGCTCAAAAAAAGCCGGCTATGGCCAGCTGGCGGCGCTTGGATGTCTTTTTGGCGCCCAGGCTGCTCCAAAGCCACAGGTCGTACACGAACTGGAACAGCTCGTACTCCGCGCCGTAGCCCAGAACTGGGCTGAGAACCCTTGACCATGTAGGAGCTCTTGGCCGAGTTGTGGCGCTCGCTTGTGTCGCTGCTCTCAGGCCGGGCTTGCTAGCGCTTCTGCCGGCGCGCGTCCGCCAGACACACGTGCGTTTCGCACATGCCGTGGCGGGATAGAGGTGGGGCCACGCCGCGCACTCGATGCCCTCCTCCTCCAGTGTCCGTGGCAGCTGCAGCTGATCAAAATACCATGAAATACCCAGTCACAGATCAGGACTTGGATGTTGAAGTACTTAAACAGGTCAGGGCCCATTTTCGGGGTGGCAGGGGTAAAGTCACGCATAAGATACTTGCGTCAACATGGTGCTTGGGTACACCTTTGAACTCGAGCTGAAGGGCATTCCTTATGATTGAAACGGCTGGACCATTCCCTCCAATTGTGCCCGCTCTTGCCATTTCTGCCGAGGGGTTCGTTCTTTCTAAATATTACTCTAAACCCACACAACGATGCCTTTCACAGAAAGACACACCACTCTGCAAAAATCAGATGCAGCCCACACAACAGTGATTCTTAAGAACGAAATCTCCTTTTTTGGGACCGCCCGTTGTTGGTTCCGTGGTAATGATCATGTGCAGGGGAGTATACGTCCCCTTTGAGCATAACCCTGCCAAGGTAAAACTCAATCAACATTGGCAACCACAACTACCTCCCCCAACCATATTCTGATTCTGGCCAAAAATCAAGTGAATCCACATATGTAAAAAAAAGGTGCTGAACAAAGATTAGAAGGATTTGCTTTTGGACCTTTGCCCCGGTCGAATCCCTTCGTTAGAAGCGAGGTCGCACCTTGCCCTGCTCAAGCTGCCTCAGTCCAGGGTGGGGCCAAGGAATGTCGCACAATTCTGCACGAATTTCCCCGCGCAAGAGCCTAACTAGTCTTAGTCCTCACTAAATGTTTGCTCCTACAATCATGACAAAATTTGGCTCGAAAGTGTCCAACAACCCAATCTTGTGGCCCATAGTGCCCTCAGTCTGCTCAGCGCGTGTTTTCTGAAGAGACTGATTGCAAAGCGACTGCGGAATCGGCAATTAGCCAAAGCTACTATGTGGCTGTGCCATTTTGGGAGGGTACCCCTGTTGAAACCCCTTTTGTGTGTGGTTTTTGGTTTTCAAGGGAACTCACACATGGGGACGCTACAACTGTTTGGGGGGTCCCTTAGACAGAGCACCCATATTCACAATCTGAAATAAGGAATCCCAAAACGCGACCCAACTAGGGCAAACAAATAGCCGGGTGCGTGTACTGGTGCGTGTTGAAGACGGTTCAAACGCCAAGACACCCACACTTGAACAGCCCGCAAACCAGGACACAAGCAAAGCATGTCAATGACTAGTGGTACACCGCATACGCGGTAAAGCACACAGCTCCGCTAATAAACCATTCACAAGATGAGAAATTCAATGCAAGGGTTGCTGCCCATCACACATGAAGGAGCAGAGTGCTACCACTCACATTGTGAAATGCCTTCCTTTATACACCAGTCTTGTCCGGAATCAGCGCCACGCAGTGCTTCAATTTACCACTATTGTTATAGAGGCAGAAGACAATCCACGGTAAACCAAGGTAAAACAACCTGGTTAGCTACTATAGTGCCAAACTGGAAGCACTGGGTAGAGGCGACTGGGCCAGCAGATCAGGAGCTTTCAGTTTTTTCTTTCAGAGGAATCGCCTGCGACATATACAGCATGGAGTATTTGCTCAACTGTACTCTGAAAGTAACCCCTGATGTACTGCCGATACATCCCGAGGACCATACTAAAGGGGATTAGCCTGTCAACGGAGGATGGTGATACGGACAAATGTGAAGTTGACGTTAAAATGGAGAAAGTAAGAAACCATTGTTTGTTCAAGGAATATCCTTTTCAGGACCCTCTTCAGGGAATCATTTGTGAATATGACGACAATGTAAACACTGCTGAAAGGTTCAACCAATCCGCCAATCTGGCCTTGCCGTTATCCCCATGAGGCCAATCCCTTCTTGTCCTCTCCAAAAAACAGTAGACTACCAATAATGGGTTATCACTATTCTATTGTCAGCTCAGGCAAATCCCTGCCAGTCCGAACAATTCGAAGTGGTGAAGCCTGACACCCAGCCGTCGGTCAAAATGTATGGGTTAATCAATCTGTTGCTGGAATTTCGCACTGCTCAAGTTGCTTTTTTGACTTGTTCCACATACTGCCATGCACCAACTGTACACTGTCTGTGGAGAGCAGGAATCGATCCAGCTCAGACGGCTCTCTCTGTCGGATCGTCCTGCTTAAAAAGTTTGGGCCACACTCGAGTGAAAGTACATCCCTCCTCATACCCCTGGCCAACTCACTCATGGGTATACACATCTTTGGGGAGATGGTACAACTTTGCAAGCCTAGGGCCATTCATCCCTGTCGGCCTAAGGGGCCTTGGCTTTGTCCTATCCAGGGATAGCACCCCCCGCCCCCCCCGTGAAGGTCCATAAGGGGCACGCAAGAGGAGCACCATCACCCCTAGAAACTCACGGCTGAATGCTCCATCCTATGGACGTGTCAGCGAAAACTGGTGGCGAGAGCTCACTGGGGCTGAAGGCAGAAAGAGACGAATGGATTGACCGGGTCGGAAATCCCGCAAATCCCGATGGGAAATTTGGGCAAATTCCAATCCACAAAGCAAATCCGATCCCAAAGTAAGCGAGCTTCATGGCTGAGCTCGTCTTACCCGCAGGTGAACTCATTGTAATTTGTCCAGATCGGGAATGAAATGTGGAGTTTTGATGCTCTGCGCCCGGTCAAGTCATAGACTAGGGTACTACACCGACTTGCTTTAAAGGGCATGTGCTCAACGGTGCTTTGGAATGTGGATGCCCTGAAGGAAAACCCAAAGGGGACCAGCCACCTGGAATCGCTCGATTTGAGAAACCGTGCGCCGTAACGCTAAGACTAAACCAACAAACCTCAACCCTCAGGGAAAAGAAGAAAGAATGGTTTAGGTGGCTGGTGCTTGGACACCAGCCATTTGCTCAGTTGCTTGTTGATGTGAGCGGCAAATCGCCATCTCTGCTCGTCCGGGATTTGTGAGGTGCCCATCACCAGCAGAGCATTGACATTAAGAACACTCGCACGGTGCAAGGCTTGCGGTTTGACATCACAAGTTCCTGTAAATTGAAACACATGCAGCCAATGTTAGATACGCTGAACCTACTCTGGAGGGGGTTACCCACAACATCTAAGAAATTGACCGCGTCCTCTTTGCACAGCGCGAGATTGGTTAAAATTTGCCCCCTGTGGGACTGTGGGGTTAAGCGAATTCCACATAGGACCAGGGTTGGGCAAAGGACGCTATGCAAGTCGCTTGCAATGTCGAAGACACATACTCAGGGGTCAAAAAGTTCCTCAAGCAGAACTCAAGCAATACTGAAGCAACAAATACTTAATCACTTCCAAGCCAAAACGCAACAACTGTGAAAAGGGTCTGAAGCCCACTGCACCAAACACCACTTGATGGCGCCAAGTCTAGTGAACAGAATGTCCCGACATCTCCGACAAATCCCGCACCTGAAAAGTGGGTTGGGAACCGGCAGCACTTGGGCTGTGACATTCATGCAGATGTGTGTATGCGTGTGTTGAATTGCTCGACCCCCAAAATAGTGGTGTCCGTTCGGTTTGCCTTCATACAACCAGAAAAACGTACCCTGCCAACAAACAACAACAAACACACCCATGTACAGCTCTTACACTTCGGGTTACTCCGTTTCACTATATTCCCTGAGTAGAGAAGTCTCGCTGCATCCCAAGCTGATGTAGTGTGTCACAATCGGAGCTGAGTTTTGCAACAAAGCCTTTGGCAACCACAGGTCCACCTATTGGGGGAAGCTTCCAAGATGGGGTTGTGACTCAGGGCTGTCTCAACAATATGGCCGGTTTGTTCTGTTACCCTGATGCGGTGTGTCTGGGGATACCAAACATGACACCTATGTTGACAACCCCCGCTCTGTCAAAACAAGGATCTCTGTCTCTCGACCTGAACCTCGTGACTCAGAAATCACGGATATTGTTCCAAAGGAATAGCTTTGGGAAGCTACCTCCATGCTTCACTTCTGGTTTTGACCGGTTTAAGCCCAAGGTTTGGAGCAAACCAAGTCTAATCACCAGCCATTCAATAGTAATGTCAGTCTCCTGAGCAGCATGGCATGGATAAGGACTCACTGACTGACTCGCCTGCCTCGCTGGCTGACTAACTGAAAGCGAAGCTACGAACAAAAGAAGGACCCCCGAAACCGGATGAAGCCTGCGCAAAAGTCTGAGCTGACAGCCCGATGCCAGCGAAAAGCTCCAAGGTTCTCAATCCAGCTAAGCACCTAAACTAAGCAACCGTCATCAATTCTAAGACTCGAAACAGCATGTTGCATCACACTAAAAGCCCCCAAAAGCTATGAATTTACTCACATCCCAAGCGGGAGCAGTGCAGGAAAATGCTGTTTGCCACAAAAAGGGCCTTCCTAAGTGACTCAAGTCCAGGAACTCATAGGAACTGAACCAACTCGTCAATGGATCTCATTTCGCCTTCCCAACCGCTGGGCCACGCCGATGAGCGAAATTTCTATCTAAGCTGATGCTCCACAAGCCGCCGGTAGTGGCCGTTCACTCGAAGCAGCAGTTGGTCGTGGCTGCCCTCTTCCACCACGCGCCCGTCCTACGTCCGGCCCGACTACGGGGTGATACAACAACGATCCCAGCCTGGACTGCGGGGTGCATGTATATGTATATATATATATATATGTATTAACATGTATATATGGTCCCGTGTTCCATGTTGCTACCCGCCCCCATACGGTATGGGTCCCCCAGGACCCCCGCCCCACCCCGAGCCCCCGGATCCTGGCACCTACGGTCCCACCCCCAACCCGACCCCCTGAACTCGCACCCCGACACCCCGGCACCCCCACCCCCAGGACAAGCCAACCCGCAACCATAAATAAACCAACCCTAAACTAACCCTAAACTAACCCTAAACCAACCCTAAATACACCCTAAACCAAACCCTAAACCGTACACCTCTAAACCTAAACCAACCCCAAACCAACCCTAAATCAACATAAACCAACCCTAAACCAACCCTAAACTAACCCGAAATACACCCTAAATATGCCCTAAACCCATTCTAAACCAACCCTAAACCACCACAACCCAACCACAGGACCACAACCACAGGGGGGGGGGGATACTTGTCTGACCCATGACCATTGGGGGGGGGGCTGGCAACGCTGTACCATGTGTATATATATGTATATGCATATATATGGTGGTTGATCTAAATTCCTTTGTCTCGAAACGGCCATTCTTCGCGAATAAAAAAGTTACTTTCGCGAATCTTTCGCGGATTCATCGCCGTGCTCTTTTCATTTCTCGAGTCGGAGAATCGCAGCTTTTAAGTGCCAGCGTTGTAAGCGAAATGACGATTTCCGATTTCCCAACTCCAGCTGTAAAGTCGCAACTTTTCATCAAAGGGGTAGTACATGACATGCGCCGGCTGGAAAGTCGCAGCTTTTCGTTCGCCGTGCAGCTCCAGCTTGAAGTCGCAGCTTTCCAGTACCAAGCTAGTATACTGACTAGATTGGGGCTCAGACTATACCTCCCCTTGCAATCGAAGCCTGCGCTTTCGCGCGGGCTTTCGCGGATCTTTCGCGGAACTTTCGCGAAAAATCACCCACGTTTCAGAGCGGAAAGCCACCGACTAACACCCACAGAAACACATACATAGGCTTGGAGCACTAACCAGCCAAGCAGGGTATCAAACTGTAGCCTCACCAGGCTTAATCAGCGCAACATCA